ATCAATTGTAATTATGACCGAGTTTAATTTACCTGCACTGTTTCGTTTCATCCTTATTGGAGCAGGCAAAGTCGACCCAACTGATCGAATTTGGCGCTTTGTGGAGCCAAGTCACCACTGCTGGTTCTGGTAATGAGGAGAATTCGCAGGACATATTTACAAGGCCATGGTTCAGCTGAAAACAATGGAAATCTACGATGGTCAACGTTATTTTCAGAACACGCCATGCACTCGGTTTGATTATGAATTGCGAAGAGGATAATGATTGAGATAGCTTCTATGACCTGATGACCTGTAACGTCATAGGCCAGTTGAACGGTAGTTTATGGATCCTAACAGATGATTAACCCTGACAGTATTTTCAATGACTGTATGCCGTAGCGGAAGCGTTACTGGAAACCCAACGGCTAAAGAAATCAACGTTCATGTTGGATGTGATTCGGTAGGGGTAGCGCGACCTCCATTCAACCAGTGTCTACCGCCCTGTTTACACTTTTCGAGAAATGTACGATACTCCACCATCGGGTCAGGGAGCTCCCCCATACGTCCCGCCACCTCCACCACACCCTCACCATTATGGCTGTTTCTGTAGCCATAAGACCAGTCTACAATCTCTAGTGGTCAAGATTACCATCGATAGGCGGGGTAGAGGAAGGGGAGGGGAGGAAAATATGTCCTAAAGGACAGCGAATGTTCCAGTTCTGTGTATTTCATGCTTCTTTCCTAAAAATTTGATCGTAATTCTTGACTCATAACGTCTTCTACAAGACCTCATAATTCGGCTCCGAGATGACTTAGAGACCTGAAAAAATGTGTGTAGAGGTGAGAGGAGGAGTAGAGGTTGAATGTGAACGCTGGGCGTGGCACACCCCGAAGTGGGCGGAGTTTGCCACCACTCTCATAACTCGGTTCCTAGAAGCCCCAGCGCCCGGGAAAAATGTGGATAAGGGTTGCCGGAGGGAAAGGGGTTAAATGCTATTGGTGGGCTAAGCATGCACCAAAGTGGGCGGGGTTTGCCTCAGAAATTCGTGACTCATAACGTCTTCTACAAGACCTCATAATTCGGCTCCGAGATGACTTAGAGACCTGAAAAAATATGTATAGAGGTGAGAGTAGGAGTAGAGGTTGAATGTGAACGCTGGGCGTGGCACACCCGGATGTGGGCGGAGTTTGCCACCACTCTCATAACTCGGTTCCTAGACGGCTAGGCGAACGGGAGAAATGTGGAAAAGGGAAAAAGGTATAGAGGT